GCTCTACATGGCAGTGAACTGCAGCCACAAGAGCTGCCTGATCATCTATACTGGTACTTCCTGGCAGTGGAAGGTAATAAATGTACTATACCCTGAATAGTGAATCTGTAGGGATTGTTTGGGAAAGCGGAATGTAAATGGAGACCTGAAATCTAGCCAAGCAGTGAACAGCAAAACGCAAAGAGTCAGATAGGATCAGGTATCAAGTTTCTGATACACTTTGGTAATTCTTTGAGCGGCTGGATTAAATTTTAACTAGAGCTGGAAAGAAACTTTCCTTCTTGGAAAACTTGCAGGGCAAAACCTTACCCTTTTCACCCCAATGTTAGTACCTCTGCAGTTTTGCGGGGAGAGAGCATCCTGCTGCAACCAGCCAGTTAAGGGCCTTCTCCAAGCATGTGGCTTCTAAATTGATTTGATCATTTTATCCTGCTGAGTGACTGTCTTTATTCTTCCTGGGGCAATTGCTCACTTTGACCTAAATGAGCTTATCAAACTACTACAATTATTTGAATTAGTATTAGTTGGGCCTTGGACAAGGTAACTCTGGTGTGCACAGCCGCTGAACAGCCAGATAATTTTCTCTCTGGCAATCTGTACAAAGTGGCCAAAACACTAGTGAAGGAGATAAGAAATGAACAGCTCAGCAGTAGCTTGGTGATCTGGGTATTCTCCTGAGAAGTGAAATGGTAATATAATTCTCTGCTTCCTACTGTCCAAACCAGAGAGGAAGCAAGGCTATCTCCACCTGTCTTTTATTTGGAAGAACATTTCTCCTCGAACTGAGAAACTTGACTGAAACTTCATGATTGTCATTGGTATCTTCCCACAATTTTTCTTTATGAATAAATGTTTTATGGCTTAAGGAAAAAAATGGTATTAGCAAATAATTAAATTTTCAAAAAAACTCAAACCCTGACAGTTCCAAATTACTGGAGCTGCCAGGGTTCCATATCTTTCATTGCGATAATGTTTAACTTTCTGCTTTCTAGATATAGTATGAATAGTTACCTATGCCTTTGCTGTCTTAGGAAGAGCATTAGTGCTTATGTGATCTATATAACCAGTGACAGAAAAAATTATTCCTTAGAAATACTTTACAGCACCTACATGATGGAGTTCAGTAAACTGCTTGAGCATCCTTCATGACACTGACTACCTTTATAGCTCCAACTCTTTAAAAAAAATTCCTGAGCTATTGCCTACACTTTTGAGGTCAAAAATTGCAGGTGCGAGTGATGGAAATGTAGGTAAGTAGTTATTGTTTCAGTTTTGAAAGGTCAGGAAACCTGGTAGACCAGGTACTCCTTCCTGTTAAAAACCCTCACTGCAAACAGCTATTTTCCTAATGAAAATAGCTTTGTGTTATATTATTGAACATCATTAAAAGTTAACAAAAAAGCTCTATTTGATTGAAGCTCTTCACTAAGGTAGAACTAAGTGGAATTTAAATTAACTGTTAGAATTCAGTAGTGATTCTCTTCCATCCTTTGAAGAAAAGGAATTTAAAATTGCAGCATTTCTGTTTGACTTAAACTTTTTTTGAGAAACCAAGGTAGGGCTGAGGTTTATACCTTAAACATGACCAGGTCTGCTGATATTTTGTAAATCTTTTGGTGTGCATGGGGCAAGCTTTTAGTAAACTGTGTCTCAGCTGTTATTTTGATGGTAGTCTTCTTGAAAGTTAGTGCTTCCACGTAGTTTTCATTCAGAGCAATGCAAAAACTGATGAATTTACATGGAATTTATTTTTATGCTTGGGAACATGACAGAATTGGAGCACTGCAGTAGCGTGTTTCTTGCTTGCAAGCATTCTGAGTCAACATTTCTGAACATAACTAGGTAAAGAAACTGCAGAGATGAGTTTACAAACCATGGAGGAGGAGGAACCACAAGGATGAGGAAGAGTTCGGAGGACTGTTTTGTGTGTGTGTGCATGTCCATTTTGCTCAGTTTATCATCATTACTGCTAAATTACTTACGTTGTTTTCCCATGTTCTTCCTTACTGATAATCTCCTGTTCTGCTGCCAGTTGTGTTTCTAGATACTTGCTGTTTGTATAAGTAGTATATGATTGATGGTGTACTGTATTTTGGATTAACTCACTGTATCTCAAATACTTAAAACACACTGCTTATATTTGAAGAATTTAAATTGGAGCACAGTTTGCTGCAAGTCAGAAATCCCGGTGAGCAAGAGGAGCCACAGAAACAGGTTGCAGCATAGCAGGGAATACAAGGAGAGTCAGTGGACAGATCACAGCAAAATCTAATGCTTCATCTTTTTTTGTGTGTGCTGCCTCCTACACACAGATTTGACAGCTACAGCTGGCTTATTGATTTGGTAGTCTTGCACTGACTGCTGGTTTCAATAGCAAAGCCTCTAACCAGTTGTTAAACTCTGAGCAGGCATGTAGATAACATGCCAATGCGAGTGTTTGGGGGAGGAGAAAACTGTTGGGTGCATGCCTCTTCGCTTTGGCTCCCCATGAGATATGTGAGGTGGGCTGTGCGTGCCGTCATAGGCATATACTCAAGGACAGCTAAGAGTGAGCTCAAGCGCACTGCTTCCACAGGGGAGAAAAAGGCAGCTGCTGACAGTACAAGCTAGCAAGATCATGACAGAGCCAAGTAGCAGAAAGGAAGGATTTAAAAAATGCCAGAGTGCTACGTTCAGTATTGATGGCTATAGCTTTACAATTGGTGAGCCTGATTTAATTCCTCTTTTTTTCTTCATCGCGTCTCTTCTTCTTCTTTCCTCTCTTTCTTTTGAGCTCCAGTGAGTACAGGTAAAAGGCATATATTGACAACTGTCTTTTGTCAATATATGCCTTTAAAATGTATAGATGCCCTGCAATTTTTGCTTGAATTGGTTTCACATTCTGTTTTCTGTATTTTTTCCTGCCGAAGAAAATTGCCTTTGATATGCAGCCCCTCTAGATACTTTTGCTGGGTTTTGGCACAAGTTCACCAAGACGTTTTGGAACTTTACCTCAGGAAATCTTGGGCTTCAGGACTGCAGGTTTCCAACTTGCTCGCTGCATTTCCTTCCTATGAGCCCAGAACATCAGCCTTGGGAACCTTGGCTTTGTTTGAAATATTTGTTTACTTAGCCAGGGTTTCCAAATTCTGTAACTTTTTTTTCATTTCTCAGTTTGCAGAAAGATATATATGTAATAGTTCTTGTTGCCTCTCAAAGACAGGAAGCAAAATTGCTGGGACAGGGAGAAATGTGAAGAGATTAGGAATTTTAGGATGGATTGCTGTAACTGTTTGAAGAGTACAATTTATTGTTTTTGTTCACTGTCTAAGGGAAAAGTGAGGCTTCTCAAAGCAACGGGTGTTTTTCCAAGGGGCTTGTTATATAAAAGTTGAAATTTGGGGATTCTCTGAGCAGACTGCTTTGTTACAATTGCATATCTCACTAGGGTACATATATATATGTACCCTTTTACATATATATATAAAGTCCAATAGAACTTAGAAACAAAGCAAGCTTACATCCCATTTTAATTTTTAGGTGAAATCCAAGTTAAAATATATGGATAACTTACTTGTAATAATCAAAACAAATGCCTTTAAGAAGATAAGAGATTCCACTTCCTTGCTGTTGTGAAATCAGGAAAGTTTTTCCTGCATGAGATTAGCATAACTGGGTCACAATTTCATCTAATAATGATGGATACAAGCTTTTATTGGTGCAGGAGGAGGTACCTGTTTATTCCTCTGCTTTATGGAGAATTTGTTTTGCAATAATTAACATAATGTAAATGTTAAGCTTGCAGAAAAAACTGGAGATGGAAATGTATGTTTCATTAAAATATCTTTATGTAGTTATCTTAACTATCTGTTAATGTTCATATAGCATTTTAAAGGTGAAAATGCCAGGTAAACGCTACTTTTCACATTTCTTCCTCTAATAGGAAGGTGGCAGTCCCTCCATAGGTTGTTGCAATATGCTTACTTTTGAACTCCCTATCTTAATCTCTTCCACTCTCAGCATCATTAGTAGTGTGTTTTTTCGTCAGTTTGTGTCAGCCTGAAGGAGAAACTTTTTTTTTTTTTTTTATGTTCCAGAACAAACCAACAGGATTGCTGGGTTTGTTGCTGTGCTGTCTTTATTGCTGCTCATACTGACAAGACAAATAGACCAAATTTTAGATCAAATTACTCAGGTTTAGAATTGCAAGCTTTTTTGCTTCTTAGCATAGGAGTTCCTGTGCTGTTTTCCTCTATTTGATGCACACAGTTTATTGATTCTGTGATCTGTGCATTATATAACATTTATTTTTATATCTGGGCAAGTGCAGATAGGATTGAGTCACATAACTGTAAAAACTTTGCTACCAGCACTGTGTTGTAGGCAGACTGAATGATTCATGTATTTGTTAATCTTTATACTGAAGAAAATTATTCCATCCAAGAAATCCCACAGCAACATTACTGTGTCAGTGATGGGCTTAAACATGTTTTTTTTCCATCAGAGACTTCTGTGTTTTGGGTCCTGCATATTTTTATGAAATTCTTGGGAAATGCTGAGCTGCTGCAACTGCTATTGTAGTGTCAGCTGGAGAGAAGGCTGATACCCTTAAGGAACAGAGTAATATCAGATTGAGAGAAAGCAGCTTCCATTGGGTGCAAAGTGAATCTTAACAGTTCTCATGCAACATCTTCAAATTTTTGTCCAACTCTGCTCCAGACAGTGCTGGTGGAAAAAACACGCTGGGAGTTTTGGTAGGTCCCTGATGAAATATCTGTATTATTAGAAGAGAAGCATGGTAGAGAGCACCTGGAGAAGGATGTTTGGTCATTCCATTGCTTCTTTTGGTGGACTTGGCAGTGTTTGGTTTGCAGTTGGTCTTAATGATCTTGAAGGTCTTTTCTAATCTAAATGATACTATGAAGAGAAAATATTTTGCATTGATTCACCTTTATACTAACTGCTAAGAAAGGATAACCTTCACAGTGTTTTGAAAACGGATTACTGACAATGAGACTTAATGAATATTTAAATGATAATTTAATGAAAGACCTGAGCCTAACATCAGACATGAGAGGATGAGGGCATGGAAGAAGGCTGGTGCCAGAAGAGCTCCTTGTTGATGGCTTGGAGTTACATACCCTCATGTCTCTGGAGATGGCCAGCATCCGTTCACAGAGCAGCACAACCTAGAGCAGCTTCTCAATTGCTCTAATTTTGACTTTGGTTGCTTACAGCACTTGTGTTGGGAGAGGAGATGTAGGAACTCTGCACTTCCTAAGGGCTTCACAGATCCCTGCAGAAAAAAGGGATGTACTGTACCAGAAAGGCAAATGTATGACAATACTCAAAAGCTTTCTTCTGTATGAAGAAACAACATAGATCCTCTAGATACCACCCTTTTGACAGAGACCGTGAGGAGGACTGAGGTGCACTGGCCCACTGAGGATTTTGGATATTCTGTTTTTACGGACTTTTTGCACTGGTGTTGTGATATAAAGGGTCTATAGCAGAGCCACAGGGTGAGCCATTTAGTGGGATGGTTCACACATTTAGTTTACTCTAGCAAGTTCAGTGAATCTCAGATGAAGGCTTCAAGATCTTTATTTGTGGTGGTCTATGTAAGCAAATTTCAGAGTGCATGCATGAAGTTTTGTATACACAAGATACTGTATTTGAGTTCTTTTTTGACTTTGGCTAAATTTTTCTCCACTAAAACATAACAGAAAGGAAGCTGTGCTAAGGCATTTTTTCTTTTCCTATGCATTGTCTCATCCCTACTGTACAAATAAGAGACTATTAACCCAGAATGCCACTGTGTTACTTATTTTGCTATTGTAATTAACTTACTAAAGGTAAGCTACATCCACTGTCTTTAAATCTGGGAAAATGATCAACACAAATTTTAACAAGAAGATATTTTCTTTCTGCATTTATTACATTTCTATGACTAAGAACTTAACTTCAGTAAAGCTCCAACTATCTGCTTTTTATATTCAGAAGCATCTGGCAACACTGTTTGTCCTATTCAATATATCAAATAAATTTATATTTATAGATTGAAATTAAGTGATGAGGAGATCTGCTCTAACTTGAGTGTTTTTGGAGAGGAAAGATGTGGCACTGAAACACTTAATCTAACTCACAGCAGTTCTTTCTAAATCTTGCAGGTAAGTTTCTTTATGAGAACACTGTCTTCATTTTGTGTGTAAAAGCTCTCCCTCCAGTTATTACAGAAGATCTGAGTTTTGCTTTGTGGTGCTTTTAAACTGATGCAAAATTCAGATTTTCTAGAATGCCTAAAGTTCAAAAGAAATAAGGAGGCGTGAACTCTTCTGTGCCTTTTGAGATCAGTTTTAGGCAGACAGACAGGCCTGTTCCTGAGCAGGCAGGCTCTGATGGGAGCACCCTTCTCTCAAGCCAGTTCCCTCTCCCATGTTGAAAGCCAGAGGTCTGCCTCCGCCTCCTCCTTCTACTGCTGCTGGGAGGACCAAAGTTTAGGAGCTTTCAAACTGTCTTCAGGGATTTGTGTTTTTGCTGCACATTTTCTATTTTAAACCCTTGTGATTTACTAATTGTTCTATTTTCCTGACATAGTGTACACGACAGCTTGTTTTTTCTAGTTCTTTAGCTTTGCATGACTAAGAAAGCAAAAGGCTCCTGGATGTATCATGATGTACACACTTATTTGTGTACTAGTGCAAATTGACTCAAGAGGCAGAATCCTGGCCAGCAGAAAATCTGCATCACTCCACTGCAGTTGGGAGAACTGCAATGATTTAAATGAGCAAAGGATCTATCCTGGACAGTCTTTTCCAGTTAAAGTGAACACTGCTGTAGGTTAGAGAAGGAGCGGCCCTACATACCAGTCAAGTAAATCATGCAGTTTTTCCATTGCTTGCTTTCAAGGCTTCAATGATGTTATGCTGATATTGTTTTGCTCTCCATTTCTCCCTGTCAGATGATAGAGTTTGTATCTAACAAACATGCTGAAGCTGAGTTACAGATTTCTGATAGCTACAGGCTTGAAATTTTTAGACTGAGAACTTAACCCTTGTGATTACATCCAATAGCCTTGCGCACGCAGAGTTGGAAGCGTGGTGCAGGGAAAGTTTCAGTAATTACTGAACAGATGCAGTTACTGAAGTCTCTACTGGATTCCCAGCTTGTGAGTTGAACAGCTTGTGTGCTGGAACAACATGACAACAGTTGCTTAGGTCATTATGTGACATCACATCTTCCCTCTTGTTGTCATAGCAGTAGCAATCAATTTTCCTTCGGAAGACTGCAAACATCATCTTTCCATTAAATGGCAGTGTTTAGTCTCTTGGTGCTGCTGCATAATGCTACGTCTTATTTCTGTTGATTTAGTACCCTTTCCAAGCACCACACTCCCCTTTCTCACAGTTGGGCAGAAAATGAGACCTGTCAAATTTATTGGGAAAGGGGAGGAGGTAGAGAGCTTGCTCAGCCACTACCACTTAATTCAGTTTCAACTCCAAGTGCTTCTTCTACGTAAAGTAGATTTACAGTCATTGGAGATGAGGATAAGGAACACTGGGTTCGTGCTTCATATCCTTTATCTTTTAGTATTGACATGGAATGCTTGTTAGGAGTGAAAGCTTTCCAAAATCAGATTTTACTGGTTTCTTCCCCATGTATGTGAGAAGCTGAGGTACTTGAAGTTCTCCCATAGGGCATGCTGATTTCTTTTTATGGACTCAATTTTTCACATTCTTTTTTTCCTTTCCATTTCTGGGTCTTTCACTCTTGAACTGTGATAACAGATGTAGTCCCCAAAATTTGTACTAAAGTTTTTGTCTTTATGCTTTATCATTTTCTCACTTTTATTTTGTTCTTTGTGAATGCCAATGTGATTTAGTTTGAATAGCATCAACTGAAAACCAAGTTCTGTTACTCCCCACAAATAGCTAAGCACATATAGAAAATTTCCATGGAATTTTTTTTTAATTGCTAGTTCATGTAGAGCAAATTATTTAACACCTTTGGAAATAGACTTTAAGTAAAAATTATAAATATGTTAACTTTCTCTGAAACAACTCGCAAAATCTTGCTCACTTAGAATACTGAAATTTAATTATTTTCTTTTTCCTTTTTTTTTTTTAAATGAAAATGCAGATAAAGACAAATGATTTACAAATACCAGGCAGACACCTTTAAGAAAACCTAAAAAGAGATTTTCATTCAGACCATGCTATTCAAGTTGAACATGAAACCTTACTGAAGTCACAGGACTTCTCAAACAAGTGGTCTTCAGTTAGTTGCATGCTGAGAAGCATAGTGATAAAATACACACCATAATTAAATAAGCACAATTGCTACTTTCATCAAATATCAAGTAGTTGCAATTGCAACACTGTAAGAATTGAGCAAAAAATGGACATGCATGGAAAAAAAATAGTCTGAAACTTATAGGTGCTCTAATATGTAGGTGTCAATATACAGATGCTCCAAGTGCAAAGTGCTGTTTTCCTCTCCCATTAGAACTGGCATTTTGCAGGATAGGATGTTTATACACTGCTATATGGGATGTGAATAGCAAACTACTAAGCCCATTTAGTTGATACTGATTTCCTCCCCCACTCCCAAAGCTGTGATTATTACCAAACATGTATAGTGTTAATAATCACTACTTCCCATGAAATGTACTCTGAAAAAGGCATTTTTAGAATGCATAGACTTAAATTGCCCTTATTTGGTGGCACTGTGTTATCGGTTACCTTGGCTGAACGCCCAGTGTCCACCGAGACTGCACCCAACCCTCCCTCCCGAGAGAAAAGGAGGAGAGAAGGGGGAAAGAAGAGGAAAAAAAAACTTGCAAAACCAAGACTGTCGAGAAAGGCGGTTTTATATATACACAGAGAGGAAAAAAAAGAACTATAAGCACTATACACACAGAGTAAACTGACAATAAAGACTACTTCTCCGTGAAAGGTGTTTTCCTCCTCAGAATACCAGCCGTCTATCCCATGCAACTGTCCTGGAAGAGAAAAGGAGAAGTTGTTTCCTTCTCGTACCTTTATATCTGAGCTGACGTAACATAGTATGGAATAGTTTATTGGTAAAATATACATCAAATGACCTATCCTAGTTCTGTTTCCCTCCCAGGGAGGGTAACAAACCCACTACACACTGCACCACATTTTATTAGTCTTACAGGAGGGACGTGTTTTTTTCTCCCAACTGCTGGCCGTTGATTTAAAGATAATCCACCCTGAACATTATCATAATTCAGAATTACAGATCTTGCAGGTCAAATTATGTTGTGACAACAGCCCTGGTAACTCAAAATATTATTTGGCCTGCAATGTGTATTATTTTCCTTAAAACTACCATATAAGCAAATCTAAGAAATCTCTGTCAAAGCTGAGTAAAAAACCACTTTTCCTTTCCAAAATCTGGAATTTTATGATAGAAATTGATAATAAAAGCTGATTTCAATCTGAGTCTGTAAGACCCCAGGTTTGAGCTATAAGCTCATCAAAGGGGTTTTACTTTTAGAAATATACAAGACACCACAATCATTAAAAGGGCCTTCAGTTCTTTATATACCTTGAGAGAACACATGGGAGAAGACACTGCACGTGTTTCTCAGGAGGTCAAATAACACAATTTTACTGGCAAACTTTAGAAAATAAGGGAACTTGGCAAAAGTTTAAAGGGCATCATTAAACCAAAATAAAGCATTTCACAAAGAAATGACTTAGCACATGCTAACCCATACAACTTAGCAAAATCCAACCCATTCAGCTTTAAGTTACCCAAATGTCAAGAAAGAAGATTAGGAGAAGAAGAAGTAGTAAAGAAAGAAAAAAGAGAGAATTATAACTACCATCTTAGATCCAGTGTAGATCCAGCTACCAGAAGTCCAGGAAAAGGCAGGGCCACAACAATGTGGGGACCACACACGTTTGGTTTTATCTGCTCTGGCCCCATATGGCCACCCCTCCCCTCCCCCAGGTAGGACTTCTGGCCCACTGGCTACTCTGGAGCTGAACTGGGGCTCCGGCGAGGTGTGGGGCAGTACTCCTGGTGTGCTAGCCATTTTGAGGCTGGGTTAGAGGCTCCAGGGGGTGTGGTGTGGGGCAGTGCTCTGGTCTGCCGGTGATTGACAGCTGCTCCGGGGCTGGCTCCAAGGGGCTGGGGTATGGAACAGGACACTATTCAATCTTTGTGAAATTCGACTTTTCCCTTCCCCGCCCCCCACACACTTGAGTTGGTCAGAGCCAATAATTAATATAGCAATCTAGTGTCTCACAGAGTCATAGGGCAGGTGATCTGTATTTTATAGTCCATGGTATATATGGTGTGTAGTAAAAGAAGTGTGAATGTGCATATAACTGCTATGGAGCACAAGGGACCATGGGCAGATTCTGATTTTGCTCCTAGGAAAGAAAATAATTTTTCAGCATTAATATACAGAATCTTATTTCCTGGCTCCTCAACTAACAAAAGCAGTGGGATTTTGCAGAGCCCCAGCTGTTGGCTAATTCTACTGTTGCAAAAGTCAATGAATATCTTCATAAAGTCCAGAAGATGACTCTTGAAAATTTCTTTGCAGATAAATTTCTTTCTCATAACCGTGATAAAATTCCAGCAGAAAATACCTAATGGCTGCTGCTCACCTTGGCTTTTAGTTGGTTGTTTGCATTCATAAATTATGCAGTGTATTTAGATAAACTGATAATGAGCTGCTTGCTTCACTTCAATAAAGCTTTCAGGGTAGATCTGAGCTGGAAGTGTTTAGTGACATTTGGATGTATGTTCTGCAAAAAAAAAGTGGTTAATTTTTTTCACATTGTGAATGTCTGGCTTTAAGAGAGGTGGATATTAATGTAGTTGCCTTACCTCTGGCGTGCGTGGTGGTGCAGCCCGACCCCGGGCACTGGGGCCTAGCCCTGGGCACAGAAAGGAGTGAGAGAATGGGAGCTTTGCCTGTGCGGACAGTGCGATCGTGGAAGTTGAGAGGGGAGCCCCGGAAAACACAGAAGAGAAGGACAACTCTAAACCCCGGCAGATGGAGCTTGTCAGCCCTGTAAGACCATCCATCTAAGAGAAGGTCACTCTAAACAAACCTACGTCCTGAGGACCTCGCTGCCATCATCCAAGCTCACTCGGACCCAGCAGAGGAACCTTAGAATTAAAGGGTGGGCTCAGTTCAGCGCACACTGTGTCTCACCTAAAAAATGCATTGCGCAGGCTCGAAGGCTTTACCCGCATTTGCAAAGCCCTCTATCACCAGCGCGCTTGTAACAAAGGTGGGTAAAGACCTTTCCCAAATCTTCGTTCGCGAAGACTGGCCATGATGATGATGATGCCTTACCTCTTCTCCCTATTAAACCCAGATAGAATTGACTACATGGAAACCTCACAGTGCAAAGCCATGACATGCTGACAGGTGTTGATGCTGTAGCTTGGAATACTTGAACAATGATTATCCCAGAACGTGGTTGAAAGGGAGGTGCAGCAGCTCCTCTGTTATAGCAGTTTGCAACTCACTTTGTGCAGACACTGATTGCTGGTACTTTTCATTCTTCTGGCTATGAATTTGAGTTCTTTCCTCTTGATAAGCCCTGCTCCAAGAGTAACCTCTGAGAGAGACACAGGATATAGACAAACAGCTGGAGGAACCCTGACCAAACCATTGCTGTTAAAAATGTTACCTGTGAGTCATCACAGCAGCCTGGGGAAATCAGGGGAAATTCTGGCTGTGTTAAGTATTGTACATGACTTTCATTTGTACAGGCTGAAGCTGCAACTTGAATATGGATCCATGTCAGCTGGTGTTAGATCCTGTAACTGCGCAAATGCCTGAACTATTAGTCCAATCATCCAATGCTCCCCAGCATTCCCACATTTCTGAAGTATGAACTATTACAGTTTCTGTGTGGATTCATGATATTATTCCTGTCTCTATGGCTA